TTCGCTAGAAAGCGTAAAGACGAAAAGTGAGCTCACCTCCAACTGTGCCGTCGAAAGTCTTGTTCCATCCGGCCCACCTTACTCGATCTCCTTCCTCCAGTATTCGAACAATCAATGGAGCATAACCGCTATAGGCATATGCTGCATCTGACGTGCTCTATAATATAATATCTAACCGATGAGTCAAAACGAGATCGCGCCTTTGGAGCAAGTGTAGTATTAAATTACTAACCGTTTCCGACACGTTGTCGGGTAGCAAGTCATATTGCTTTTTGACGGATGTGAACATCAGTGGAGGATAATCGGTGGACAGCTTCCCACTGCCACCCCGTTCTCGGATTATTCCCATTTTTTGCAGTTTCAGTAACTTGTTCAGTGCTTCGACACCGAATGACTGAAAATTTTAAGTTGAAGTGAGGACCTCGTTCTCTTTCACCTTATCTTCTTAGGACATATGGCACGATAATTTCGTGCTCGGTCTAAAATGCTAGCAGGGTGCTGTACACTGGGGAAACTGACGAAAAAACGAAGTAGAAAAAAACCTGCCAAGAATAGCCTTCGTTCTTAATGACTTGAAAAGTGATTTCGGACGAGTTTCCCGACGAGCCGTATCTACCCTAACCGTTATCTCTCCAATAGCCGCTATGGTAGACACGGCTGCACGAATGTACACGTATATCCATGCAGCACTGCAGCCGCATCATATTAATCCTTCGCTTCATATTTTACTTCGCGAATGAAGCGCTGCAGCATCAGGTACGGTCTTCTATTTGTGAGCAATATACCGACCCGGGCGCGGTGGGCGTCCGGGTCGGTATGTTGCAGCCTGATAGGGCCTTATAAGAGTAGTTTCACTAGAAAAGACGTTACGCAGCGGCTGCTAAGGGACGTTGAATTTTGTCCTGCCACCGTACTAATTCTACTCATCTTAGGGACTTATCGTGCCTTTAACTAACTGCAGCTTCTGAAATGACACAGGACAGAATAATGACGTCGTACACTGTGGCGTTTTTCCTCAGCTACCCCCTTTCTCTGTCTGGCGTCTTAGGAAGCCTTCATACATTTCTTCGGCATTTTGAGCGTCTGTCAGCGTTCTGGGCGTTTTGTTCGACTAAGAAAGCGTAGATATCAGTTATCGCTGAAAACGGTGGCAGACGCTTAAAACGAGGGATCGACACCTATATATTCCCAGTCGCTCGAAAATGCTCACACTAAGACGCTAAGGCGCCTTATCAGATGATATACGTTTGCCTGCCCCTTAACTGCACACGCGGTTGACAACAGCGTATTTTAACTGACACTTTTCGGTGACTTCACTTGTCTGCATTTCGATCTGTTCGAATACCTCCATTCAGCGCTACCTGAGGCTGATCTAGGTAATATGATGGCCCTGAGGCGTCGGGCGGGCTGGGATCCGGGTGGCAGCCCTGCTCCGGAGCTTCCTCCACCCCCTCCGGGTGGAGAAGCGCGCGCAATTTTTGGGGGTACTGTACGCAGGCCTGACAACCTCAACTTATAATCTTGTCCGGTT